TAAAGCGTAACATCGTTGTTTAGTAACTTGACATTTTCGATTAGAAACACTATTCCGCAAAATTTATAATTAAAGACCCAGTATCTACAATTTTTAACAATAATTAATTAATAATTGTGTATTACGGGTTTGTAGAGTTAATTGGGTTAATAGCGAGTGAATAATTCGAACTCGATTAAAAAGGAAAATTACTTTACAATTAGATTTGTTTAGAAGAACAAACTTCTGCAGATTTTAAATGTATGTATAATTATCCGAAATAGTTTACTGTATTTATTTTTGTAGCTTAAAAATTATTCATAATTAGTTTTTACGAAGCCATGCTTACAACACAATTTTCATAATAATTTTCCAATTCTTAAATTAACAGAAGCACTTCTTAGCTGTATATAGTAGGTTTTGAGAAGGCAGTTTTTGATAGCACCAACGTATTTTCTATAATTAGTAAATAGTTTATCATGTTTTGGAAATAAATGCAGTTAGAAACGTAAAGTACAACTAGAGCACTGAAGGCATATGCATATTATCATTTTGGGTCCAACCAATAAAAATCATTACGGCAACCGGCAAGTATCTGTCACATTAGTGAACCAATCTCAGTTTAGGTATATTTATAAGTATTTCCTATAAATTAAGTTATCTCAAAAAGTATTCATCATAAATATATATGTAGGTTATCATAGTTACCTTAAAATTTTGTATTTCATACTAATTTGTCCTAAAAAATATACTATTCTATTAAAAATAACAAATAAGTTGACATATTGTATTGTTAAGATGTTATCATTAAGACTTCATTGCACTTTTTCACTGTGCGTTATCATAATGTGTCTATTTCCATGTTTACTATACGGAGAGATCAATAGCAGGTCAAGCGACGAACCCTAACTTAAGTATTTTATATATAAACTGCCTACTTCAAAAATGGAAAATAAGTGTAAAAACTATCAAAATAAACATAAACAGAATCTAAATATTTGGAAAAAATCACTTAAATTCCAAATTTTGTACTTATATTTCTAAATACAACTGCATATTTCAAATAAATCACATCTCTAATATTAGGGTTTAAGGGTTTACCACTCGGACTTCATTGCAATTTTTCACAGGGCGTTATCATATTGTGACTATTTTCATGTTTACTATACGAAGAGATCAATAGTAGGTAAGGAAATAACCCTGACTTGAATATTCCATATATGAACTGCCTACTTCAAAAATGGAAAATTAGTGTAAAAACTATCAAAATAAACATAAACAGAATTTAAATATTTAGGAAAAATAACTTACATTCGAAATTTTGTATTTATAAGGTACCTAAGCCAATTATTGCCATGTTCCTAATATTACCAGCGGAGCCAAAATCCTGACGTCATTACTCTTACGGCCGGTATACATACTAAAACATTCTTAGGGACGAAATCAACTAATTGAACGTACCCGAAAAGTCTCCAGTCTGCACAACGTATCAGAAACATAGAGACCGCTTTTTGTTTACCCCGGTTATAAAAAACTATTCGTTTATTTGACGTCGTATTGGCTGTCCAATTAAAATAAAGAGTGCAAAAAATTACACAAGGTACCTACTTACATACATATTTTGTTATTATACTACTTTTATGTTTATTTTAAAGGTACTTCCTGAAATCGTTAGTTGCTTAGTACATTCACATGTGCCTAAATATTGCCATCTTTAGGTAGACCAAATATTGCCATGGCAATATTTGGCAT